CCCGTCCCGCCCCGCCGCGCCTCCGGCATGCAGCGCCACGGCCGGTCGCTCCCTCAGACGACGCCTGCAGCACTGCCGTTGCGTCGCTCCTGCACTTCTAAAAGCATTGCTAAAGTTGCGTAACGACCCTTGATTAGTTTTTGTAATCTACTACTGTTAATGGGGAGTTTGTGCACGCCATACTGGACAACACTCGATTTTCTGCGCATGCGCAGATGCACTAGTGATGTACAACTTGAACTACACATGCGCAGATTTGACGTTCCTGGGTGCACAAACTCCTTAATAGGGAGTTTCTGCATGGCGAAGAGTTACAGCCATCAACAACACTACCGATGTTCTGCGCATGCACAGTTGCATCACTTTTGTGCATCTTCACTCGCGCAGAAGATCTCTAACAGGGAGTTTTGGCAAGGCGAAGCGTTACACCATTCCACAGCACTATTGATGTCCTGCGCATGCGCAGTTTGAGTATCGCAGCACTTTTGTGCATCTGCTCTCACATGAAAGACTGTGAGTGCAATCGATTGCTCTACGCTATTCGGTGCAGAAAGTCCCTAATAGGAATAGGGAAGAGAGTTTTTAAATCCTCGAACGTTAAAGCAATCGACTGCACTATAGATTTTCTGCACATGCGCGGATGCACTAAAGTAATGCGAAACTTGAACTACGCATGAGAAGAAGATCGATAGTGTTTTAACGTCCAAGAATGCCCTAACTCTCTTCTTTTCTTGCATCTGTGCGTGCGCAGAAGATCCAGATTAAGTCGGTTGCTGCCCGATGAGGCGAGCAATCTCCCTAATAAAACCTTACAACAGTCGACAACCGTACGAGTATAGATTTACTGTCCCCAGTCAGCGAAACAAATGAGTTTTATCTAACGAACTGCATTTGATGTAATTTGAGTAACGACAATCGCGTACTTACAGAAGTTCGACGAAATTATAGACATAAAATTTGGGCAGCTTTTGAACGTCAAGCATTAAATAATGAACATTTTTGTTAACTACTTTAATTATTTTTAAATTACAATTAAGTTTGTATTTTGATTTTATTACTTTTTCAAAGTCAAATTAATCCCAAAATTCTTAATGTTTCATAAATTCGTGCCTCTAACAATTTCTTCACAAATGAAAGCAAGTTATTCCCATTAAAAGTCATTTAATATATTAATGGTTCTATGAGACACCAAAATACACTTTTCCATATTCAGAAAATAAATTACTCAAGTACTTTATTAAATGCTAAGTTTCTAGTAGATAAGATTATTTATTCATTAGGTGCACGATAAAGAATAATTGGGGCCACGTTAAATGACGCAAATCCCTCTAGAAAAAAAAGTTCACTTATCGGCGTGAACAGTAGTAATTTATTCAGAAACTTGGAGTAATTGGTACTCAAATTGCTGCTACTACCGTGACCTGACCTCGATTTCAAGATATCTTTCTCGTAAATGAATCACAAAAGCAGTCGTTGGCATTTGACTCGCCAGTGGCTCGTAAGATTACAAAAGGTCATTGATGGAAGTTGAGGAAATTACACTGTACATTAACAATTCTCGCAATCTTGTTATGTAATGCATTGCACACTCTGTATGTTTTGCTTTTGTAATGAGTGGTTTTTATTGGTTGAGGACACAGCTATTCAGTTGCCACAAAGAAAATAAATAATTTAAAGAAAGTGTCTAGAGAGAGTAGAAGGAGGGTAATTTCATTTTAAATTAGATAGAATCTATTCCTTATTGTCTATTATCTGATAAACACCCATGTATCGGTGGATTACTTTAGCCAAAGGTATAATACCTAGAAAACTATTTAGAGGGTGCGTCTCGTCTTCATTGATTATTTGTGCTTCCAAACGCGTCAACTTCTATTCTCATAAGTCCCGCATGTGTAGTGTTTGTTATATATCGTAAGTGGCAATATTACTCCCCTGCAAGAGAGGGGGAACCCCGGTAGGCTGCTAGGAGCTTTCCCCATCCAGGTACCTCCACCCAGCGGGGTACCACCCGAGCCGAGTCGTTCTAAGCTCCGGAACGGTCTCTTGGCGTGTGTGGTCGCGTAGTGCATACAAGTGTAAGTGTGTAAAGGGAGAAGAAGGGACGAGGATGTAGAAGGGAAGACACCACGCAGTCCGTAGCCCGTTTGTTAGGGTACTGTTCCGGAATTCGTCTGTGTTGATCGGAGAAACCACAGAAAACTACCAATCACTACTGACCGATACAGACACGCGATTCTGACGGCTATGCCCTTCCTTGTCTGCGGAGAACATTGCGTTGAGCTACCGCCGTTGTCGCAGGCACGCGGTGCTGACGGCGGGCCCGTACCTGACGGAGGAGCAGTGGCGCGTGGCGGCGGCGGCGCTGCACCGCGCGTCGTCGGTGGCGCTGCACTCGCTGCAGCAGCTGTCGGCCGCCTTCCGGCCCGGCTCGCACTCCTTCTACGGCGACGTGGGCCAGGTGAAGGTGGCGGCGCGCAGGGACTGCACGGCGCGGGAAAGCGCGCGCCTCCAGCATCTCGCGCAGCAGGTGAGCCCCGGCGCGCACGCACGAGCTCGCGCAGCAGACGCGGCCAGCACGCAGATGGGCGCGCAGCAGATGAGCAAAGACAGATGAGCTCGCAGCAGGTGAGTTCGAACCAGCGGCACACTCTCGCAGCAGATGACGTAAGCACCATGATGGGCGCGCAGCAGATGAACAAATACAGATGAGTACGCAGCAGATGCGCCCGGCGCAGAGGCACGAGTGCGCAGCAGATGAAGCTAGCACTTAGACGGACGAGCAGCAGATGAGGCAAGTACGTAGAAGGGCGCGCAACAGATGAAGCAGGCACACAGATATGAGCCCAGCAAATGAGCGCGCAGCTGATGAGCACCGGCGTATAGGCACGTCCGCGCGCAGCAGGTGATGCTAGCACCCAGAAGGGCGCGCAGTGTACGCAGATGGGCGTGCAATAGATAATCAAATATGAGCGCGAAGCAGATGAATAATATGAACCTGGCGCAGAGGCACGCGCGCGCAGCAGATCTATAATAGGTTATTTCGTATAAGGGCAATAAGTTGAACATGCATTGCAATATCGATTTATCGTATTTCAAATTTGGATATTCGAGTAATATGATATTAATTAATTACCAAAAGGCCAATTCGCTATGAATGAGAAACGAAATAAATAAAATTGGAAATATCGAGGAAATGAAGATATCAAGGAATTTGAGTTATCTAGAAATTCGGTAACGTCAAGATACTAAAAAAGTCATGATATCAAAATCCTAGAGAATTCGGAATATCAAGAAATTAACTAGTAATTCAAAATAATAGTGAAACCAATGAGATATTAAGGATTTTGATATGTCAAGGAATTGGGATATGAAGGTGATATCAGATAATTCAAGTGATCAAAGTTATTGAATGTATCATTGATTTAGTGATATGAGTGATTTCAAAGTATCAGTGACTGCTGTCCTAAGTGTACGCACTGTGATTGGCAGGTGTTCCTGCTGGAGGGCCAGCGCGACCCGAGCCCTCGGCCGGAAGCGGCGGCGAGCGCCGTGGGCGGCTCCCCGCCCCCGCCGTCCTCCTACGCCTCGGGCCCCGCGGTGGCGTCCGGCGGCGGCGGCGTAGGCGGCGGGGCGGGCGGCGGGTGCCCCGCAGAGGTGGCGCTGGCTGGCGCGGGCCCGCAGGTAGGGGTGCAGGATAAATGTTACAAACTTCTAGGACTAAACGTTTGTGGGCTGCCGTAGTGGCACAGCGCAAGAAATGAGGTGTTGAGGTAAATGCGTTTGAAGTTTCACCTTGTATTGAAATACATCATTCTTGTATTCACACTATTTCTACCATTTGTTGGTGAATTACTGTATTCTGGAAGGAATATATGCTGCTGGAAGGAATCTGCACGTGGATTGTGGAGATGCATTAACTCAAAATTCGTGTTGTTTTTTTTAGTTGAGCCTCTATTGCAGCCCACGAACGATGTAGTAATCATTTGTGCTGAAAAACGGCGAACCAGCAATGTAGTTTCACGCCGGGAGGAATTTATTCACCCCAGAGCAGACACCGGTGATCTTCCCGCCTCCCCCATCGGGAAGCACTAATGTTCTGACAGATTAAAAGTTGGATAACCCAGTACTCAATGATTCCAGAAGCGTCTTCCCAATTATGTCTAGGTATCCCCAGAGCGAGGCACCCGTCTTTCCGGGACGGTATCCGAGTCAATCTTGAATGTTACAATACGCTATGGAAATCCCCTTCTTAACTAAAACCTAGGGCTTGGAGGGAGTTGAAGATTATTACCTTTAGCCAATGAACATGTGAGGGAAAGTTCTTATATTTCGTAATAGTTACACAATTTTGACTTCACGCTTCTGATTGGTGGGTAAGTCATCATGCACTGATGTTTGTCAGGTACACAAGCTCTGAGGGGAAGCACCGGTTGGAAGTGACGAATTATTTTAATTATTCACTTAATATTGCTTTTATTCAGAAATAATGAAATGCGTATCTTACTTTCCTCATTTTGGTAAAAAAATTTTATTGTTACTTAATAGATTCCTCCAATAAGTTCATAATTATCCCGTAAGTAGTTTCAGGGATCATAGAAGAAAATAATGTAACCCCAAAATATGTAATATTTCAGAAATCAACTTTGGATTTAATCGTTCTAGGTAATCAGTCACAATACACAGTATACGAGTAAACAAAACACGTTTGCCGCGTAAACTGTCGTAGAAGTTTAAATTTGCAGTGCAAACACATTAAAGAATTTACTTTTCTCTATCATTTAGTGAAAAGCGGTATCATGGTGACGACATTCAAAAGATGTAACGTACTTGAGAAGTTGCAATCAAAGTTACCGACACATTCAGATGAAGGAAAAAAATAACAAAAACATGTTTTAAAAGAGTGCATTTGACAGCGATGGATATATATCACGTTATTTTGAAAACTCTAAATATTTAGAAAATGCTAAAATCCCACAGAAATAAGTTTTTTGCTGTATATCTCCTCTTGAGTGCCGACAGTGAAAAGTCTTGCACGAATGCCCCGAATTGTTTGTGAAATAACGCAACCGTACGCGTGTCCGAGCAGTGCAAAAAATAACAAAATTTGATATATAGTAATCATCAAAATTAATAAGTAAATAAGTATATATTATATTTATTCAGAAAACTAAATATTTAGAAAATGCCAAACTCCCCAAAAAGTCAAAAATTTCTGTCCCCCCCTTGTGAGCGCCGACATGGAATGCCCGTGCCTCTTGACAATGTACCGTGCGTGTGCGCGTGCTCGCGTGTGCGTAGGACGGCGAGGAGCGCAGCTACATCTTCCTGCTGTACCCGCCCGACGTGGTGCACACGCTCAATCCGGACCTGTACATCGTGCGCGTGCCCTTCCGCTCGCTGGTGGTGGGGCTGCTGGCGCACCAGATGCTGCTGCAGACGGTGGGCAGCGTGCTTCTGCAGGGCACGAGGCACGTCATCCCCAGGTGAGAAGCGGGATAAAGGTTGCAAACTTCTACGGTATGCAGACGGTCGAACATGATCACTTTTTGCCAATGAACGTGTACTGACAAATTGATTACAACGGAGTTACTCCATGATTATTGAATAACTGAGGTATACTTAATTAGTTCAAGCATTTAACATATGAATTATCAAAAATAGGTGTCTTAGCAATGTATTTAAAATATTGATATAAGTGCAAGCAACATCAGCAAGGAAAATTCCTTAGAAACAAAATGAACAATAAGTGAGTTTTAAAATGTTCCTTTCTTTGCATACTGACTGAAAAAATGTATATACTTATGAATGCTTCCGCAAGAATAAACTAGTTCGTAAATGCCAAGTCGATAAAACATTTACAGTAATTATTATAGTACTAAATATTAGTATTACTTAGTACAGTAGATAATGATCTAGCAAAGAAATCAAGTTTTAGTAACAAATATTTCATAAGACTATGCTGGCAATACTACTCATACAAATGAAGCCAAACATTTCGCGCGACGCAATCTTACCGTCACCGCTTGGCTTCACTATAGGGGCTCTCTCCAACTAGTCCTATGTATAGATGATTAGGCAGCTCGCGTTTCATTGGTCGGGAGCCAGCAAGAAAAACCACGCATGATAAGTTCAAAGCCAAAACATTTTGAGAAGTTATATAGTGTTATGAGGAACAGGGAAACCCAAGTATGGCAGCTTGGAGGTGTTGGCATTGTGCTGCACAATTTTTTGAATATGTCGAGAAAATCTATGTCATTAGGGAGCTAATTTTTGTTGTATATTCGGGCCCGGAGCATGGCATGTAGGCTGCTCTCATGAGTCGCCCTCCCCTAGACGATGGCCTTAGGATCATTGTTTTTAACGCGTGTGCTTTGCCCGCTTTCAGCAGCAGATCTTAAGCTCGGGTTCTGTGTGAAGCCAGTACGTCCTAGCGAGCAATCTGTGTGGCCCTCTGCCAGTCGGTACTGCTAGACGCCGGTGGCTGCGGGACAGACTTTGGCCTTGTGTGAACCCGGCTGCTTCGCGCGCTTGTGTGCAGCCTGGCGAACGTGCTGCTGTCGAGCCCCGGGGTGGGCGGGCGGCGCGGCGACGGTGGCGCCGACGAGGAGCCCGAGAACCGGCTGTCGGGGCTGATGGCGCACATGCAGCCCGAGCACATCCAGACGCTGCTCGCCTGCCTCGACCTCTCCTACGACCGCGCCATCGACTTCGACTCGCGCCCGGGCCTCAAGTTCCTCGTGCAGAAGGTCAGCGCTTTCTCAACGACCCAAAACGACGTTGTCCAGGTCGGGTTGGTTGGGAGGTGGGAAGATTGACTGCTGGTGGCAACCCGAACAATCTGGGGACTGTACAAAAACCCAAATAATCAGCGGGTTTTTGTGTAATTTATCATCGCCAGGAAGGATTAGGCCTTTGTAGCCTACCCAAGTCGTCTACCCAAGACCATCTCTTCCATGAACTTCCTCTCTCTCTTTTCCCAGTTCATCTCCTTGAGAAAACTCTCATTGTTCATTATTTTGAGATTATCCTGACCGTTTATTTCTCTCACCTACTTGCAATATTGATTTTTTTTGTGAAAATCTATTGGAAATTTAGTTAACAAAAACATTGGGGATCCCTATCCAGAAAGGGTCTTAAAACATGTGCTTAGTCTACCCACAATCTGATGTAAACACAGTGGTTCTTCGAGGGCTCTTCAATCTGGGCGGAGAGGGAGGCAATGTTATACAATCGGGAGCTTCTTTACGACTGAACTTTTTGGTATTGGAGCTCCCGATTGGCTGGCAATGTCTCTCTCTCCTTCCAGTTCGAGACCTTGAAGTGCCACTACGTTTAAATGGCAGTACATCGTGTGTTGATCGCTGTGCCGCGCAGGTGGCGGGGCTGGAGCGCGCGGCCAACCTGTACCGGCAGGCGGGCGCGGCGTGGACGCTGAAGCTGGTGACGCTGTTCGACCTGTGCCTGCACGAGCTGCGGCGCTCGGGCGCGTCGCAGGAGAACGTCAAGCTGCTGCTGGAGCAGCCCCGCAGCGCCCGCTCAGAGGTCAGCCTCCATGCGCAGGTCTCCGAATAAATGTTGCGAACTTCTAGGGCGTGTAGGGAGGATGAAGATTATCACTTTTTGCCAACATTATAGGAAATGTCACGTAAAAAATAATTACACATCACATTTTATTCTCATTGGTAGTCAATTCATCTTGCAATAACTGGTGTTTGGCAGGTAAACGACGTCTCATCGTCAACGATAAATCGTGCTGCATAGAGAGTTTAATGGCTCATCCAAGAAAAGTATTAATTTGTCCCTGGTTCACATACAATACATTTTTATCTAGGTGCCTCATTTATGATTTCCACACTTTGAAATCAAGAGAAATGAAGGGAATCGAAAAAGGAAATTGTCTCAACAGCATTTTTAGAATTTATTCTGACTGTTCTGAGTGACAGAAGATGGCCGTTTTATAATTTTATAACCACCAGATTCAAAGGCTTGAAAATTAAAATTATTGGATAGATAAGAACTAGAGTTACTGTAGAGTTGGATTAGATGGAGCACTAGGATTGGCAGAATCCGCTTTTGGGCGACCACGCCCGTTTAGGACCGGATTTTTCAAACACTCACTAAAGTGCACACTGGCCGTTTGCTCTTTCTTCGGTCGTACATGCATTCACTCAGTGACTTTTAGTGAGTAGTGACTTTTCGTCCACCTATAGAGAGAACTATCTGAAGAAGTCCGAATTAAATATAGGGACTCCTTCCGGTCGGGAGATGGGAGGAGAGTGGGACACTGTCTTCCAATCTGAAGCTTCGTTACTAAACATTTGTGTTTTGAAGCTCCCGAATGGATGACATTGTTCCCGTCTGCTTCCAGCTCCGGGCCTCGGGGAGTCAATGTATGTAAATCGCACAATTGAAGCGGAGGGTTGCGTGGGTTGCAGGGCGAGGCGGCGGACGTGTCGGACGGCGAGGAGCAGGAGGAGGAGGACGACGACTCGGACGGCGGCGGCAGCGGCATCATGCGCCGCCCGGGCAGCCTGCCCGTCCCGCTGGCGGGGGCGGCGGGCGAGGGCGGCGAGGGCGGCGCGGGCGGCGCGGGCGACGCGGGCGGCGGGCTGGGCGACATGAGCGTGTTCCTGCGGCGGCTGCGGCGCTCCTTCGACCGCCTGTGCGACACGTACGTGGACGTGGTGCTGGACAAGGACGGGCAGCACTCGGCCGTCGACCACATCTCCGACCAGCCCATCTTCTTCCTGATCGCGCAGCCCGACGACTTCCCGGAGATCCGGCGCAAGGAGACGCCGCCCCCGCCGCCGCCCAACGCGCTACAACACCAGCAGACCGCGCAGGTGGGTGGCGCTCCGCCGCTTAATCACTTTGCTACGCCACATGCGGACGACTCTAATGTGATGGTGGCGATGGGCGAGAAAACGTTGGTTCGCGTCGGATCGAATCAGGTAGGATCTGGTGGGATTAGATCCGGTCCAATTGAATTAGATCGTCCAACAACAGCAGACGACGCTGGTAAGTGACCCTCAAATGCTTATGAAATCGCGGTGTCATATGCGGAGGACTCTAATGAGATAATGGAGGACAGACCCAGTTAAGCTGAGCGGGAAAAGTCAGATCAAGTCAGATGGAATCATCAGTGCGGATCGAATTGGGTCAGATCCGGTTCAATTGAATCATCGCGTAAAACAGTAGGGGGCACATGTCGGTGGCTCTTAACTTTTTTATCAACTCACGATATCAGATGCGGGGAACTCTTGAGGGATTGTGGTGAACAGACCGAGCGGAGCTGAGTAGGAAAGTGTTTCGGATCGGATTAAGTGGACACGGATCATATCTGATCGGTTGCCGTCATATCCTGTGCAATTGAATCATTTGGCTGCGTCCGGTACGATGGGTTTGATTTATGTATTAATTAGAGATTCCTGGCGCGTCTACTGCTAATGTCATTGGTCCTGTAAGTGTAGTGCATATTTTATACAATACGAAGTAGGTATCTATCCCAAAAGATTCGCTAGAGTCCAGTAGCAGTGCGTAAGATAATTTTTTTAAGCTAATAGCAATATACTGTAAAATAAACCGAAAGAAAATTATAGTATTTAATTTAAATTTGAACCAGTTACGTTAAAAACATTGTTGAAACCCCGTGGTGTAAGTAAAATTGTTCGTTTTACTCTTGCCTAAGGATTGGATATGAAGGAAGCCCTGGCAACGCCGGGTACTTTTCTAGTACACATTACATTGTTGTCTTGTGTGTGTTCAGGAGGCGTGTGGGGCAGCAGGAGCAGCGGGGCAGGCGGGCCCCGCGGGGGCGGGCGCGGGGGCGGGAGCTGCGTTGGGCGAGGCGCTGGCGCTGCCGGCCAGCCCCGGCCACTCGTCGCGCCCGCCCTCCGTCGCCGCGTCCTCGCTGCTCGACTCCGAGGACGACGTCTTCGAGGACGACCCGCCCCCCGCCCCCGCCCTGGACGACGGCCGCCCGCGCCCCTTCGCGCTCGCCGACTTCGCGCGCAGGTGGGCACAGCAGTGTGGGTGCGATGTGTGGGTTACGTTGAGTGAAGACTGCTTGCAGAGGATGGGATGGAATAAATTGGGTTGGGCGCATTGAGGTGGATTGGGTGAAGATAGCATATGATGGGATGGAATGCAATAAATTCTACTGGACTGCGTTGGAGTGGATCTGATGGGGTGGTTTGGAATGGAATGAATTGGGCTGGTTTGGGTTAGGATGGATGTGGTCAGAATGGCCTAAGATGAATGGAATGAAATGCATTGGGATGGGTTGGTTTGAAATGAATCTGGTGGGATAGTCTAAGACGGGATGGAATGAAACGAATTGGGCTGGATTGACTTCGGATGGATCTAGTGGGGTGGCCTCATTTGGGATGGAATGGAATGAATTTGGATGGATTGGGTTAGGATTGCCCTGGTGGGGGTGGTCTCAGACGGGATGGAATAGAATGAATTGGGAAGGATTAGGTTAAGATAGATCTCGTGGAGGTGGCCTCAGATAGGATGGAATAGAATGAATTGGGCTGGATTGGGTTAGGATGGATCTGATGGTGTGGCCTCAGAAGGGATGAATTGTGATGGATTGGGTTAGGTTTGATCTGGTCGGGGTGGCCTATGATGGAATGTTGTGTTAAGCTGTTTCTGTTGGCCTCCATCAGCATTTTTAAATACGAGTATCTGCTTAACGACGTTAATAAGCAATTGCTTGCAGTGACAACGTGATTGCAATGCGATGCGCGGTGCGTTGCGGCAGGCCGTCGACGGGCTGCTCGGGCGACGAGTCGGACGGCGCGCCGCTGACGCGCGTGGACGAGAACACGCTGTGCGCCGGGGAATCCCCGCCGCCGGCGTCCGTGTACCGCGTGGCCGGGCGGCGCGAGGTGGCCGGGCTGGTGGGCGAGTACAAGCGGCGCAAGCAGACGCGCGCCATGCCGCCGCCGCCGCCCGGGGCGCTGCAGCCGCCGCAGCAGGCGCTGGTGCCCAGGCGCAACCCGTTCGCCGACGCCCCGGCCCCAGCGCCGCCGCCCTGCGAGCCCGTGCCCGTCGAGATCGAGCAGCAACGGCGCACCAGCCTCTTCAGGGTGAGTGGGCAACTAAAAGGAAAGCGATATGTCACAAATAAAACAGTCAGCCATTACAATGTGGGCATGAATATGCAGTCATGAGTAAATCGCCATGAATATGTCAGAAAAAAATCGAGCAGCAGAGGCGCACTAGCCTCTTCCGGGTGAGTACAGAGAGTGAAGCAGAGGTGGTAAAAAGAGGGGGTTATTAAAGGTGAGAAATAAATCATTAGCCCTGAATATTTGGGCAAGAATGTGTGGACATGAATATGTGGGAATTAATATATGTTCATGAAAATGTGGCAAAGGATATCGATCAGCTGAGGCGCACCTGCTACTTCATGGTAAGTACAGCGACTTCAATTGAGCAGAAGTAGTGAAAGGAGTTGGTAATGTGACAGATCGTCAGCCATGCATATGTGGGCATGGTTATGTGGTCGTGAATGTATGGTCATGAGTATGTGACCATGAATATGTGGTCGTGAAAATATGGCTCGTAATGTTCTTATAAATGTGGTCTTCAGTAAGTGGCCTTGAATTTGGGGTCTTAAATATATGACCATGAATATGTGATCATGAATATGTGGCCATGAATATGTGGCCATGAATGTATGGTCGTGAATATGTAGCAGAGGCGATCGACCATCATAGGCACACCGGTCTCCTTGGGGATGAGTAGAGAGGGTAATGTTTCAGTGATCCAGTAGTAATAAAAGGACAGGGTTATGTGACAAATAAATCGTTAGCCATGAATATGTGGACATGAATAAGTGGCCATAAATACGTGACTATGAATATGTAACTTAAAATAAGTGGCGGAGAAGATTGAGCAGCAGAATCACCCCAGTCTCTTCAGAATGAGTTGAATTGTCCCCGAGACAGCAGCTGAATTCGAACTAGCCTAGTTAACTGTGCCACCGATGACTGGAACCCAAGGTCATAGACGCTGCGTCTGCAGTTTCTTCTCAGTTGCGTTGACGCGCGCGTGGCTTTGCGTGTTGCAGGACAGCGAGGCGCACCGCAAGGTGTGGGCGGAGATGCTGGGCTCGGTGTTCGACCTGCTGTCTCAGCTGGACGACGCGCGCTTCCGCGCGCTGCTGCCGGTGCTGTTCCACGGCGTGCGCCGCCTCACCGCGCACGCCGCCGACGCCGGCCTCAAGCAGGCCGTGGCCGAGCTCTTCCACCGCGTCGCCATGCTCTACGGCTTCAGCCCCGAGTAGGCGGCGCGCCGCCACCGCCAAACACCACCGGCACCACCACCAACATACACCAGCGGCAAAATGTCATAGGGGAGGGCTGTCAACGCTTCCATTATCTACGCCGCAAGACGTCACCATCACCAAACACTACCGGCCGAAAATGAAGGCGGCACGATGTCATCAGCGGGGCTCTCCGCCGTTGCCATTGTCTCCACCAGAAGGCGCCACCACCACCAACTTACACTAGCCAAAGAAAGTGAAGACGGCACAATGTCATAAGGGGGAGTGCTGTCAACGCTTCCTTTATCTACGCCGGATGAACTCACCATCACCAATACCATCAACAGAAAATGAAGGCGGTAAAGTATCATTAACGGGGCCTACCACCGTTTCCGTTGTCTCCGGCGGAAGGAGCTACTCCCACCAACTTATACTAGCCAATGAAAATGGAGGGGACACGCCTCATCAGTGGGGGCTGCCAACGCTTTCGTTGTCTCCGTCAGTTAGAGCTACCATTACCACCAAATAGTTGCAACAGAAACTTAAAGCGGCTCAATGTCATTTGTAGAGATCGCCACTTCTTCCATTGTTTTTGCCCGAAGAAGCGGCTACCCTCAACTCACACAAGACATAGAAAATGAAGGCGCATAGAGATCTTCAATGGGATCTGATACCACGTTAACTGCCTCCGTCTGTTGGAGTCACCATTACTAAATGCTAGCGACAGAAAATTTAGGCGGCTCAACGTCATTATTAGAGATCTCCACTGCGTTTACTACCTCCGACTATAGGAACAGAGACTATCGCGATTGCTCTTTTACATGTATTCCGGCATGTCAAATGGTCGTCAGTAGGATTCACTATCACCAATCAACAAGCTGCGCTAGTGTCAGAAAATTTTGGCGGTTCATGGATATCAGTGAGGGTCGCCCCACAGTCGCTTTACAGTCGCCTCCACCTAAAGGACAACCACCACCATAACCACATCCACCAACATTACCAGCACTATCTGATTCTAGCTACAGAAAATTTAGGCGTCTCAAGGTACTTTGCAGGTTCCATCACTACGCCACCGCCTCTTTGCATCCGCCAGTAGGAGTGACCACCTCCTACTACTACCCTCTGCCCCACCACCCCCGCCACCATCTATTTCCATTCCTGTCTACTCCTATTGTAACGTCTGAAAATGTGGGCGGCCCGCATCATCAGTGCCGTCCGCACCAGCTTTGACGAATCAGGGTATTACGTAAGTGGCATTGTAGTGCCTGTGACTGGTAGGTCCTAGGGTTTCACTCCACACGGAGACAGAATTTTCGACAATAGCTAAATAGCGGGGTTGAATTCAGCCGCAGTCTGGAGGAGAATTCTAGTGGCGGGCTGCTCTGATCGGTGTTAATGCCGGAACAGTACCCCAACAAATGGGACACGGACCACGCGTAATCTTTCCTTCGTTGTCCTGATTCTATCTTCACCCTCTACTTGCACATTCTTACAAGAACATGCACCACACTAACGCACATGCCGGGAGACCGGTCGGGGGCTTAGAGTTTGTCCGGGGTGGAGCCGTGCCCCGTTGGTCGGAAATACCTGGTTGGGGTAACCTTCGCATGTCGTCTAAGTCGTCGCCGGATCTCCACAACCAGCGGGGATGATCCCAGCCACCTTTCGAAGATAAAACATTCACCACACTTACGGGACTAACGAGCTTAGCAGTTGACGCGAAATCGTGAAAAAGTTGGGTGTCCCTGGCCTAGAGCAAATCGGCTGCTCAAATGGGCTACCCATTTGACGTGCCATGGTCTAGTGTTTATCTGCGGGACATTGGCGTGACCCGCTGGTTATTGAGTCATCCAGACGGTGGGGGGGGGGCGCTCAGGCGCGATCGACTCTAGTCTCGTGAAATGCTATTGAGACACTGCAGCCAGCCTGGCCCCAACTCTTTCATTTTAGTAGTTCTGACCTAGAGGACCTTTAGCCAGAGTACACAGAGTGCACTCCGATTAAAACAGAATGTCCTTTCAAGGTCACAAACTGGCAGGAAAGAGGGGCGCGGTAATCGAATCGCGAGCTTCGATGCGACTTAATATGTTAGTATTGAAGATGCCGATTGGATGACAGTGTCTCCTTCTCTTATTAACTCGTGATCTTGAAAGAACTTCACGTTTTAATCGACGTAAATGTGTTGTTTGAAATATTGACCCCCTAAATGCATGTACCCGTAACCCGCTTGACCATTGAGATTCTATGTGCTGCGAATTCGAAGGCTTATTTTATTATTATCAGTTACCATCTTTCCTCGCAAGGAACTTTGCCCCAATGCTCATAATGAGTAATAAACGCCCATTTGCATTCTGCTCTGAAGAAGTTTGTAGTATTACGACCGAAACGTTGGCAACCCTGAGTAAGATGCGTGCCTCCAAATCAGTTCCCGAACCACGACATATTGCCACCTGTTGTCTGAGAGGATCACCTGAACTATTGCAGTTTTATCTCGTTCGCATGACACCAAAAGCGAGAAATCTGAATTGAAAGAAAAACGAATAAATTGAGTAGTAGCGTTGTATTACCATGCAGTGGTTCCGGGACAGGAATCATACTCTAGTCGTCAGGGGAAGATAATATGAATAGAATACTAAAACATAAATTGTAAAATAGTCAAGAAACATTATTAACTACTATGAGGTTAATGGCCCACGGATTCATCTGTTTAATGTATTAACGTTCCGATATTTTATCTTGTTAATGTCTTTATTGATTTTTAAGTAATTTTATGCAGATTGTACTACTCTCTTGCACAAAATACGGAGTTTTTGTCGTTAATAAAAATTGATTAATAATGTAACGTGAAACGGCTCACAAGTCACAGTGGAAAACATAGCCATCTGGCCTAAGCGCATTCGTGTAAAAAAGCGTCAACCCTCAACTTTCTCTGCTCAAAAAACATTAAGAGAATGGAGAAAGCGTCAAAAACATTTCGAATATAGCGACATTAAAAAAATCGTAGGATCAGTAAAAGTTACGGGAACATGTCCACAAGTAGTTTTCAATTCATTTCTTGGGTTATGCAGTTGAATGTATGAGAATATTCTTTCCCTTGAATTCTTGAGAGCACTTGTGAAATTTGAAGGAAGAAAATGTTTGGTTGCCTCAGAAAACAAAGAATTATTCAGGTGATTCTCTCATCCAAAGTATTCATAACACCAAATATTGTAATAAAGTTGTTTGTATATAATTACAAAACAGCAATGACTAACAGTATTTTCATAAAGTGATGAATATCGACCCTAGGGACGATTTCTTAGTAACAATTGGCAAGATGTAAATTGTATTAGATTGAGTACGTCACTTGTAAGATATGTCAAGACTTAAGAATACTCAATTATTAATTACACTTTATTAACTGTCGCACATTTCACTGAAAAGAAGTGGAAGTACATTTTTTATTTATACTTCAAATATTACATCTATTAAAAGACGCAATTTTTTGGATGAGGTAGAATGAGAATATCGAAGTGAATATTGCAGTTAAAGGGTCATAATAAACAATTGCATAGTTTTTAAAGTCTAATTTATTTTAATAAAGAATTCTGTCGAAAATTATAATAATGCACACAAAAAACTTTGTACTGGAGGAAACGGAAATGTCGATTTTGTAAAGTAGAAATATATAACAAAAGAAGAGAAAACAGAAGGTTTAAGTAGTAATGTTAAACTATCCTCCACTTATTTTGTTTTACAAGTAATGAATTAATAAAATTAGAGGTCACTTATTTTGTTTTGAAATGGGAAATACACATTTTTGTTGGCTATATTTTCACACTTTCTGTCGTTTTTGGTAAGACTAAATAGGTAGATTAACGTCATTGTGATGCGATTTACTTTTTACATTTTTTCTTAATAGATGTATAAGTAATTAACATCATTAAATGTGCGACATTTTGCCACTGACCAAATGTCTTTGACGAACACCAAAAAATAAGAGAATTTTTAGAAGTGATTCAACAACGGTTTCTTTGATTCCTAGAATGATGAATGACGGTATATGTACTTAAAAAATAAAATTACGTGCAAAACACTGACGAAAATGGTGTCAGTGAAATGAATTAAACTTATTATTTTATATAACTCCCCAAAAATTGAGTTTGAAAGAAAATGTGAATGTAGTCGCTGAATGAATCTCTTGAAATTCTAGAGACAGAAATATTCTTTGTTCTTTTCCCTCTCATCGTACTGCCACTGTCTGGTGTTGTAATTCGACCTAAACAATAAACACGGTTGTTGACTGTAATGGACGTGTTAGTCATGTAAACGTGTTGGTTAATGTTTTTTGTTACTTATATATTTTTATTTGTGGCCAAATAGTAATTTGGTTTTTTACAATTAATTTAAATTTAACATGATAAATAGCTGTCGTAATTTGTTAGTTTTGTCGAGTTTTACAAAAAAAGATACTTCAGAAGCGCTGTTTCTTTGAATTGTAGTGATGAAAAGCATGAAGATTGTTGCAATAAGTATGAAGTTGAACTTTCCAAGCTGTCTGCTGAAGTATTTGTCTAATAAGAGTTCCTTAATTTTTAATGTGTGATCATTTTATTTTAATATTCTATTTCTCATTTTTTGACAATTTGACAATGCATATTTTTACTTATGTTATCGTGGAGAGATCTATCATGTTACATAAGTTATGATGATGTTAATATTTAATTATGGTTTTATTGCAGTTCTAGTTATTGAAGTTGATGTATTTACAATACATGACGTACAAATAAGATATTTACTATTTTATTTTCTGTGTGACAAACTTAATATTTTTTTCTGAAAAAGGAGTTATTAATTCTCAGGACTTGTTCTTTCACTTTTAATTATATTCGATTTCTTGTTCGCATAATACTTCCTTTGTGTTCATAATGTAAGTATTAAAATATTTTTCATAGGTTTACATATTATTTTAAGAATCTTGTTTAAGAATGGTCAAGGTTTATGTGACTAAAGATAGTCTTGACCTAGATAAATGGCATAGATTTGCTTAACATTTCTAAATTTCTTTAAAGTTCTTTTATTTAATTATAATTTAATAATTTATTTTCATTGAAATTGTATGAAAAAAGTAGAGATGTCTATATGTTTTTGAGTTCTGGTATATATTTCAAATAATGAATTACTCGAATTGAAGACTGTAGAAAATTAATCACAGATCTTTTAGTAAAAAGGAAGTGATAAGTGAAAGTGAATAAATAAACAGTGTTT